CCCCAGCCCCGGAACCCCCCCCCCCCCCCCCATCTGCCACGTCCCGCCTTTGCTCCGCGTGCCACAAGCAGCACGGGTCCCTTATTGGCTGGGAGACAAATGACGTCAGCGCCGCCTCTAACCCCCAACCCCGTGCAACTCCCAGGCCCAGCTACCTGAAGCCGCGAGTTGACGAGCGCGAGCTCCTGCTGGTTCTTCAGCGCGTCGCTCATGGATTTGGAGAAGATAAAGCCCATGGCGACCTACGGGCCCCAACACACACCGGTCGCTGCTACCGGAAGCCTGTTTCCCGCCCCGCGGGTATCCGCACTCTACGGGAAAGGTGTCGGTTGGCCTGGAGCTTACTCGTCGGGGGCGGAGAGGTTACCCCTACCGAGCGGCCGATCAAAACCTCGCCCTGGGTTCCTCTCCCAGAGCTGTCCGCAGGGCACAAAAGCCATAAGGTAGCCGCAGCCAACGTCGTTACGTAGAAGCTAAGCCATGGCCCCGCCCCCTAACCTGTACGGCGCGCGCAGGCGCCCTCCGGGGACGAGCGACTCTTCCACCCCCCCCCCCCCCCCGTGGGGGGCCCCGCGGGCCCCCCCGGGGGCCCCCCCCTTTTCCCCCCCCCCCCCCCCGTGGGGGGCCCCGCGGGCCCCCCCGGGGGCCCCCCCCTTTTCCCCCCCCCCCCCCCCGTGGGGGGCCCCGCGGGCCCCCCCGGGGGCCCCCCCCTTTTCCCCCCCCCCCCCCCCGTGGGGGGCCCCGCGGGCCCCCCCGGGGGCCCCCCCCTTTTCCCCCCCCCCCCCCCCGGGGCGCGAGGCCAGTCCTGGGTTCCGCTCTACCCTGCGCATGCGCGCGGTGGCTCGTTACAACTCTCGGTCTGCCCTGGGCCTTCAGCCTGGTTTTAACTCCTTCGCCGGACTCGGGGGGGGGCCAGGGGAAGGGGGCGCAGGGAACCAAAGAGGAAAAAAGGCTTTGAATATATCTATCCATCTATCTATCTATATATAGATATAAATAAAATAATGTCATATTGAATATATTATATGATATATAATATCATATACTCATAGAGCACAAGCTTTCCTGAGCTGATGAAGTGTTTCAGCTCAGGAAAGCTTATGTTGTATATCTCTACTTTGTTTAGTCTATTGCTATATATACATAAGTGTACAACACAAATATGTATGTGTGTGTATGTACATATGTGTGTATATATGTACACGTAAGGCCCCTCTAGATGTGCAGGTAAAGGCATGGTGGGATCACATGCATCATGCACACAATCATGCTTCCTGCCATACCACATGTTCATGACAAGAGGTATGATTGTGGGATCATGAATTAGATCCTATCACGCTTTATTGCTGGTGCAGGGGGAGCCTGGGATCACAACTGCAGGCTCCCCCTGCAGAGACAAGTAGATGGGAGCCCCGTTAACTGAGGGCATGCTGTGCGGTCCTGCAACACTGCACAAGTGATGCTGGCGATCACAAGTGATGCAAATTCCTAGGCCCAGGAGTGCTTGGAGTACCTCCACTGCTAAAGACCACGTTAGTTGTGGTTCCACAACTGCAGGGGCAGGTACTAACACGGCTGGGAGCACACGTCACCTGTGAGCTCACAGGTTCGGATGCACATGGGCCCTTGGATGGGAGCCCCAATCAGCTGGCAGGTGTCCCAGCTACAGGGGCCCCTGGATACCTGTTCAATTAGTGATGTCATAGGAAGGAGCCACACAGTTATTACACATATTTTGGGGAACAATTTTGGGGCTTTATTGTCCTTTCATCATGCCATTAATTGACTGAACATATACATCCATTTACACATTACACTTTTAGTTAATCGTGTCTTAAGTTGTCACCTGGCCACGTGTTCAGTCAATTAATGGCATGATGAAAAGAGAAAAAAGCCCCAAAATTGTCCCCCAAAATATGTGTAATAACTGTGTAGCTCCTTCCTATGACTTCACTAATTGAACAGATATCCAGGGACCCCTGTAGCTCTTCTACTTGACTTCAGATTAACATGGGTAATTATGTCTTATTAGCTACCCTATCAGCCAGTTTTCAATAATTCATTTATTGGTATGTCTAAGAGAAAAAACAATTATTTATTACATGTGTTATTTTCATATTTGGTACACACAGTGGGAGCATCTACATGTGCAATTACATTTCAGGGTTTATTGCTCTAGAGTTTTTTTGTGCACAGCACATAAAACCTGGTTGGAGCAGCCAAAGCTGGCAGGGGACCCAGGAGGTCAGCCTGCCAGCCCAGGGCTACTCCAACTGGGCTCCACATTCAGCAGCCCTAGGGGGGGGCTGGCTGAGGCACAAGGGTGCTTCAGTATGGGGCTAGCCAGCAGGCAGCCTCCGCACTGAAGCATCCTTGTGCCTCAGACACCACCCCTATCACTGGACATGAAATCAGACCTGGGCTGGCTGCTCTCCCCAGCTCAACATGCTGCAGAGCAGCTGGCTGGGGCATGAGGGTGCTTCAGTGCTAAAGCTGCATGCCAACTAGCCCCACACTGAAGCCCCGTGTCCCAGCCAGTTGGGACAGTGTCTATAGGTGCACTTCTGCACACAAAAAAATTCTCCAGCAGGGTAGTCCTTGTAGTTTACAAGACTATATTACATGTCACATAAGGCACAGACTCAATTTTAGCTCTATGGATACTGAAGATCTTGATACAGAACTATGTAATAGTAGTTCAAATTACTACTACCACAAAGGAATAGCATTAGAAAAGATTACGAAAGCATTAGAAGACAGGAGTCAAAAGTTTCAAGCTCTTGGCTACCAAAAGTTAAGATTCTAAATCCATATTGAAGTCACTCCTTTTAAAAAATGCTGAGCATAGTTCCCATAAACTTCAGTGGGATTTGTGAATGGTCATCACTTCTGAAAATCAGGACACTTATATTTAGACTTCTGACTTAAAAGTTTTAGGAACCTAACTTTTGGCATTCAGTTTCTTTCTTTCTTTTAAAGTTAACTCATAAATTATTGCTACAATACCCAGGCATTTAAATGTTTTAGAGATATAAATAAAGCACGTAACATTTTTTACATCCCAATCCATTTTCTTTGGCGTTATTGAGAGATTTTCTGTTAGTATGAGTTAAAATAGGCATAATGAGGGCAGAGAAAAAATTGCCTGTTTGTGTTTGTTTCCATGCAGCAAACTTTCCTGATCTATCATCTGACATGTTTATGAATCAAAACTATTATATTTATCTGAATTTATAGCCACAAGGCAAGCTAATATCCAATATAAACATGAAAAACATGCATGCGTGTTGTCATTTAACATCCTACTTCTTCCAGTTGTCTGAAAAAGGGTACTTAATTTGATTGAACATGTTTTTAAGCATATTTTCTTTTAAACTAAAGAATATTATTGCATTACTATTTCATGATGCATTTCAATCAGCTTCACACAGTTCATCTGTATATAATTAGAAGATGAATTTATTCGTTTTTAAAAATGTTGGTTCTAAGAGCTTGTATAAGTTAAAACATACAAAAACAAGTTCCAGTTCTGTCATGAGTTCCACAGTTATTCTGAGCATATTAATTGTCCCAAATAACTCATAAATAACCTTATAGGTAAGCATAATTTAATTCTTAATTATAATTTAATAGTTTAATTCTCCACATGAGAGCAGTTCTTTTGACTCAAGTTAGACTGCTCATAAACATAAAACTTTGCAGGACCAGGGCCCTCAGTTCTGATCTTTTATACATTTGAACAAGGGTCTTCAGTTCTGGTCTATATACACATTACCCACATAACTTCCCAGTGGTCCCACTGAAGGAATGAGATTGTTCATTTCAACAAATACATGCATGTGTGTCAGCAAAATTTGACCCTTAGCTTCTTATCTAACAAATGGACCATCACTAAAGGGAGGTCCTTAGTTTGTTCACTTCAGTAGGATTTGGAATGAGCAAAAAGGTTTACATCTTCAAGGATCTCTTTACAGGATCCAACCTTAAATGGTAGTTAAAATACAACATATAATAGCAATAACTAAGGGAGCAGAAATAGAGGAAAGGAGGGATGTGGGTCCCAACATAAGACAATATTTAGAGAACCCTAACAGAATGCATATCATTACTGCATTAAATCTAGCATAATATATCTTCCATAGAAGGGTACATGGCAGGTGCTCATATCTGATGGCAATGGGTAGCAATATAAAACTCTAAAATTGATAGAAGATGGAAAGACTGTAAAGCAGAGCTGCAAGAGATACAGGCAGAGTGAGAAGGAGGAAGAGAAAGAAAAGGTGTAAGTAAAAATCAGGGAGAGAGAAAAGGTGCAAGTAAAAAGAAAGGAAATAAGAGTGGAAAGCATGGGAACACAGAGCTGAAAGCAAATGTTAATGGCATGACGGTGATGGGATACACACAGCTGACAACACAGTCACTTAGTTGCAAATGGAAGCATTCAGAGTCCAAATATATCATGCAGAGGAAAGGTACATGTCTGGCTGGAAAAGGATTTAAAAAAATGTGTAATTACAATGGAGAGTTACATAGCATTGCTGAAAGGGAGAGAATGTCTGCAATATGCTCTTTGCACACAAGATGGCGCTTCTCTCCACATAAACAACTTTCATTGATTTCATAGACATTACAGCTGGAAGGGACCTCAGAAGATCA